TAACGAATATGAAATAATTAAGCATTTTTTGACAGCTGCCACAAGAGTTGATGTATAGGAATACTGAGCTAGTTGATTATCTGTTAAACTATGATGTTGATCAAAGTGAATATGATTAAGTTAAAAGCCGGTGATGCAATGCCTACCGAGATTTGTATTTCTCTTGTGCCTAATAAAACAAAAACTTTTTCCCGCCAATATGTTTCATTAAATACACCGAAACAAGATATCTGTAAGTAATTTCTTTAAGCTAAATTATTACAGTACCGCGGGCTATTTTATTGTAATTCCCAAGCAAATGCACTTGTAAATAACTGGTTTCATCTAATATTTCAGTTTAATTTTGACTGGTTATGTTCAATGAATAGCAAAACACGCCAATAAATAAACTAGATTTAGATCTAGCTTGGCTAAATAATAATTATCTATTTCTCGCACAGGTATACGGTACTATGTATAACTTGGCTCTAGCTTAATTGATTTCTATTATCATTTAGTTGTATAATTATTTTCCCATAACCTTCAAACGAGAAAACATCGTCTGTGAAACTCATTGAAAGTAATCGAACGTTTAAAAATATTTATACGTTTTTGAATTATATAAAGGAAAAAGCCTGGTGCTTCAGATTTATTTCTAATACCTTTGGAACAGCTTAACGAAATGATATAGAACAAGACAAAATAAAGCTAAAATAAAATATTGCTCCGGAGATTTTTATTGGATCAAGTGTTGCCACGTCTAGGAAATATTCCTAAACATATAGAGGGTCAGACATTATTAATATATTTTATAATGCATATATTAAAAATCTCCAGAAATACTGAGTCTCTCCCGGATTTTCCCTTAAACTTAAAACTATTGATATTTAATCTCAGACATATTTTTACCCTAAAAGTACATAAAATTTTACATACGTACAGTAAATTTCTATTACTTTGAGCGTTATTAATATTGTTTTTAAGCAGGTGATAGAGAAACTTGTACTGCATAGTTAGTTTTAAAAAAAACATCTCCAAAAATTAAAACTTCTATTAGTCTTCATTGCAGACAATCATTATATAAAAATGTATACGATTCTATACAACTTCTTTCAATTTCAAAATTTACGGGGCGTTAAAATTTTATGTACTTTTAGGATAAAAATATCTCTGAGTTGCAATATCAATAGCTTTGAGGGAGAACCCGGGAGAGAAAAATATGAAATTCTATACAATTTCTGTAAAATTCAGATATTTCAGAGGGTCGAAATCAATAGTTTTGAGAGAAAACCCAGTAGAAAAAACATGAAATTCTATACAATTTCTGTAAAATTCAGATATTTCAGAGGGTCGAAACAGAGAGTAAAGTTGCTGGAAATTTAAGCATGATCTTAAAAAAGTATTTTTTTTATTTTAAGGGGTTGATTTTTGTTGAAAGCGTTTCAGTTCCTTATTTGTGGTCTATATAATGTAGATCGGGTTGAAAAAAAATCCGGAAACAACGGCAACAGCGTCAGGGCAGCCGATTCTCATTCTCGTACTAGTTCAGGGCGCTTTTATCAAAATCGACCCCTTAAAATAAAAAAAAAATCTTTTTTAAGATCATGCTTACATTTCCAGAAACTTTACTCTCTGTTTCGACCCTCTGAAATATGAATTTACAGAAATTGTGTAGAATTTCATATTTTTATATAAAATATTAATCCCTGAGCTAGAATATTAACAGTTTTAAGTAAGATCCGTATTTTTTGAGATGTTGTCTTAAAGGTAGCTAAGTACTATTATAGTAGTTCTGTGTTCCCGTTTTAAAAAAACAATATTAGAAACGGTCTGAGGTAGCTAAAATTTACGGGACGTATGTAAAATTTTATGTACTTTTAGGACAAAAATATCTCTGAGTTGCAATATCAATAGCTTTGAGGGAGAACCCGGGAGAGAAAAATATGAAATTCTATACAATTTCTGTAAATTTCAGATATTTCAGAGGGTCGAAACAGAGAGTAAAGTTGCTGGAAATTTAAGCATGATCTTAAAAAAGTATTTTTTTTTTATTTTAAGGGGTTGATTTTTGTTGAAAGCGTTTCAGTTCTTTATTTGTGGTCTATATAATTTAGATCGGGTTGAAAAAAAAATCCGGAAACAACGGCAACAGCGTCTGGGCAGCCGATTCTCATTCTCGTACTAGTTCAGGGCGCTCAGCGGATCTATATCGTCCGAGGGGAGAGGTACCGCAGCGCTGGCGGTACGGCCAGGTCAGCGCGTGACCTCAAGCCCTGAGGTACGCCGGCTACTTTCCCACGAAGAGACGCCCGCAATATCTACCGCTCTTCATCAGGAACCTAGCCTGTCATTAAATATGGCAATATATGTACGCGGGGTACGGCCCAGATTGCCGGCAGATTATGGAACCCCCCCAAATCGCCATCACCCGCTCCAAATTGGACTACTCTCCCTGGACACGGGTCATTTCAGACCATTACATTCACCCCGCGCACCATTCTTCCTCGCCCTTTTTCTCTCAACCTTATTTAGACCTTACAAAGACAATGACATGTCTCAAATCACTTTGGTACCGTAAACTGGGGTATTTTTTTCACTGCTGCATAACTTTGGTACATTCCTCACATTTTTCATATTGGGTAATGTATGTTCGTTATTTTCAAAAATAAGTTATTTCTACTACATGTTATTATTAAAAAGTTTGTATGTACAGGGTGTCCCATTAAGAATAGCTCTCGGCTGTATTTCGGAAAGTATTAGCCGTAGTGCCTACGGAAAAAAAATATTTATAACTAAAAAGACCATGAGAAATGGCTGAAAATTATTTTCAGTTTGTAAGACGGCCGCTAAAGGGCGTAACTGTTATAAAAAAATAAGGAAAAGGAGTTTTTACACAATTTTGCCCTTGATAACGGGTACTATAAATAATAGAATATTTTTTATTTGAACCATTTTCCCCTATCTGCCAAAATAAAGTGGTGGGGAAAGGTTAGATCTGTTTTTATTTAAATATTAATAACTCCGGACTGGATGAACGGAATCCAACAAACGGGGGCTCGTTTAAAATAGTTTCTTACTCTATATTAGACCATATAAACAATAATAATAAGCTTTTGAATGTAGACGCTAGGGGACGCTCTCTTACAATTTAACAAACTGCGCGTTTTTTCAAAAAAAAAGTTAGATAGTAAAGACATGTTATTAAAGTATAAGTAAAATACGAATAAATAACCCAATCTGGCCATTCTGCATTGAACACTGCAATTTTATTAACATTTCAAGGAGTCAACTACAAATAGGTGTATTTTACTTTCGACGCTATACAAGCAGAACTATAAGTTCTATGAAAACTAGTTAGTATATCCTAAAACTCTATTATTTCTCTCGTATTTTAGGTAAAATATGTTTTTATAAATGACACTGGGAGAAAAATATATTTGCTTCTAAACTAAATTTAATCTTTGCGGGCCAGTTTTGGCTGTCTCAAAGTTGCCCTACGTATTATTTATTAGGTATCCTAGCCTGAATATCAGTTTGTACTAAAGTTCGACATAGTAATTGAACTGTTCTTTTTAAAGTTGTTATTTAATCTATTGTATGTGTGAATTTTAATTCTTAAAGCTGATGCTAAACGAATGTATGCCTAATGTCAGAAACAGAATGTTTCTTTAGAAAACAAATATGTCTCGTAAATATCGGCGTTTACCCAGAAAAAAAAATTTTAAAAATAAAATTTTAAAATTAAAAATTATTTTTTTTTTATTTAAGAATAATGCATTTTTTGCTGTAAAAAACGTAAACTTTCATTGTATCTATCTAAGAAATATATTGTCCTATTTTTATGATGTATATTTAATCATTAGAATCTGTGAAACTAATCTATTTGCTATCTGTTTTTATTAGTTCTTTCATAGATAAATCTTGTCTTCTTATTCAGTTTTTTTAAATTGTTTTCATTTCATATTTTGGCTAATTTTTATACTATAATAAAGCTGTTAAATGACACTGCTTAGGTTTGAATATTTCATATAACAATGTCTATATCAACGAAAAACCCTAAAAATCGTACCAAAGTTACCCCGGTTTGCTGTACTTATTTTGTATCAACAAAATCTCATTAATCTCATTACACTTACAGAGTACTTTTCAAATCACTAATAGCCCTAGTATATCTGGAAAAACTAATAATTCAACCTAAATGCTCGTCATACATCAATTTTTAAGATTATTTTCCATGTAATTATAAGTAGTATTAAGCAGAGGTTACCAAATATTCTAAATTATAAGTGAAATTTAATAACAACAGAGTAATAAATGTAATTTTATGTCAATTTGTTGTATTTTATGGTGCTTGTTTACGAGACATTTATATGCGATATATTTGGTTTATGATCATATCATAATCGGGAACGTATTTCATTTTAAGCGACTGTAAACACCCTGATAAAATCATTAAAACAAACTTGAATGATTTACTAGCCTAAGAGTAATTTTGTTAACCCCGTACATAAGCCGAAAAGACTTTTTCTTTTAAAAAGCCCATCGTTTCTTTTTTAAATTGGGAATGAGAACGCAAAGTTAATAAATACTGCGTGTTATTATCTCATCAAACAGGTCGTAAGTTGTAATAAGTGCTGATATGCAAGGAAAAATGTATACTAAATACAGAATTAAGGCTGTGGAATCATCTAGTTCGATAATTTGCCATCAGATGATGGCCTGGCTTCGTACACTGGAGAAAAGCATCGTGGGAATAGTTTTTAAATGAAACAATTACCGACGTGCGTGTTTGTAACACATTATTGAACCCAGTCGCATATTTGCTTTTATTTTTCTATAAGTACTTTTCATGAATTCATATTTTTGGCGATTTTCGATGTTTTTCACACGGTACAAAAAGTTGTACTCCGCTAGTCTGGCCAGTTTGATCACAAAAAAAACGGATTTAAAAATAAAATGATGCTTTAAAAAGATATTCTCTTATAAAGTAAAAAACTGATAATTTAATGTTGAGAACTCACCTTAGAGAATCCTATATTGGGCGTTGGTGTTTGATGCAATCCTAAATCGTGGCATTTAAATGCTGTAACAAAATAATAGAAACTGAAACAAGCAGGGTTGGTTCATGAAAGCACTGGTTAATTTATTATAGTTCAGAGAAAATCTCATTGTCGATTTCGCCTTTTCTTCCTTTGCTTTAAAATAAATTAGACCTAGTATTTTAAAGTTTAAATTAAATATCAATTCGTCTATATTTTAATAAAATATTCAGGTGTTTTTACAATTACATTAAAACCAGTAAATCTTTTTATACAGGGTGTCAAAAAATAATGTATCTAACTTTGGTGAGTGATTCTACACATAAAAATAAAACAAAAAGTTTCTATGTACAGGGTGAGTCAAAGATAGAGTAAAGTCCATTATCTCATTTGTTTCGAGGTTTACAAAAATAAATTAAATATAAAAGTTATAGGGAAGGTTAAGATATACATTTTAAAATTATTTTAGAGTATACAAGGTGCTTCAAAAAAGTTTGGCGGATATAACATATGTTTTTTTAAATGCAACACCCTAATTTTTATTTCATTTTTAGATTCTGTTATATACCTAAAATTACTCGTTTTTGTAATATTTCAATTTGTTTAAATAAATGTTAAATTGCAGTGTGGTAAAAAATTGTCAGTGGTGCCATTGTTTCTGAAGTTGGAGAACCAAAATTTGGTAGGCGAGTTTAATAGAGATGAAAAAAAAGGTATATGTAAAGATATTTTAGTTAAATGATACAGGTTGTTCAAAATATATTTATGAATTTCAACTATTTAAAATTAAAAAATCTCAAATTTTTTAAATGGTACACCCTAAACATTATCATTTTTTCTGTTAGATTTTACAAGACTCTCTCATATCATATACCTATTTTTAATAGTTTGTGATTTATTCCAATTTTTTCTATTCTTACCCATATTTTTAATACATTTACGCTATAAAATCATAGTTGCCATGACGAAACAATACTATTTATTACTTATCTTTAACAAGTAGCTTAATAATTAGTTGCAATTGCTGGTATTAGTTAAGATTAATTCACTTTACTCAAATAAACTAAAATCGCAGTCCTGAATTTCTTGGTGTATTTCTATATTATGAAAGATGACACTTGGATTTTTCGTCGGGGCGAATAGCCACAGATTAGAGTAATACTACATCTACATCTATTCTTATAGTACTTAGCAAAGTACTATATAATATATATTAATGAACCAAAAAATATGTTTTTCTTGGCTTGTTCGTGTATATCAGTCACAGTGACTAATTCATTTCAGGAAAATCTGTAACTATTATCTGTGCCATTTATACTTATTACAAGAAACTAAACGAAAATTCAAATTTTGTTCTTAACTTGCTTAACAGACATGAAATTTTGATAATTATTACTTTTTGTCATGGTAACTATGATGTTATAGCGTAATTGTATTAAAAATATGGGTAAAAATAGAAAAAATTTGAAATTTCTTAATTTTAAGTAGTTTAAATTCATAAATATATTTTGAACATCCTGTAGCATCTAACTAAATATCTTTTCATAGGTCTTTTTCTATATGTCTATAAAATTCTCCTACCAAATTTTAGTTTTCCAACTTCAGAAATAATGGCATCACTGACAATTTTTTATCACACTGCAATCTAACATTTGTTTAAACAAATTTAAATATTACAAAAACTATTAATTTTAGGTATATAACATTATATATAAAAAAGTTATGAAATTTGACGCAGAATCTAAAAATAATATAAAAAATAGGGTATTGTATCTAAAAAAACATATGTTATATTTGCCACTTTTTTGAAGCACCCTGTATATTCTATAATAATTTTAAAATGTGCATCTTAACCGTCCCTATAACTTTTATATTTAATATTTTTTTGCAAACCTAGAAACAAATGAGATAATGGACTTTACTCTATCGTTGACTCACCCTGTACAGGGTGTCCAATTAAGAATAGCTCTCGGCTGTATCTCGGAAAATTTTAACCGTAGGGCCTACGGAAAAAAATATTTGTAACTAAAGGGGCTATGAGAAATTACTGGAAATTATTTTCAAGTTTGTTAAACGGCCGCTAGAGGGCGCAACTGCTACGGAAATAAGAAAATAGAATTTTTACAGAATTTTGCCTAGATAATGGGTACTATAAATAATAGCTTCATAATCTTCAGTAAATTTTGGATTTTTTTTGTTAGAACCATTTTTCCCTATCTGCTAAAATAAACTGGTGGGGGAAGGTTAGATCTATCTTTATTATTATTAATAACTCCGGACTGGATGATCAGAATCCAACAAGCGAGGGCTCGTTTAAAAGAGCGTTTCTTACTCTATATTATACCATAAAAATAATAATAATGAGGTTTTGAACGTAGACGCTAGGGGGCGCTTTCTTACAATTTAACAAACATAGCGCGTTTTTTCAAAAAAAGTAAATGCAATAGTATATGTAATTTTAGCTGACAGTAAAGACTAGTAAAAGCTTAAAAAGTCGGCGAAAACCGCATCTTGATATCTTCTTTCAAACCGAAAATATTAGCAAAATTATAATAAATATCAAAAAATAAGCCCTTAATTACCTTATTTTTACAACACGGTATTAGTAGCCCTCTTGATTATGCCTATTCTAACAAAAAAATAAGATAGAAACAATTAGTTTATTTTAAAATCGACGAAATACCAGGATACCATACCAACTACCAAAATAGCCCTGAAAGAGTACTTTCCAGTAGGGTAGAGAATACTACTGGTGGTACTCAACAAATGATATATAAAAGCCAGCTCTTCGTTTAGTTCGAAACAGTGAACGGTTTTCAAGATATTTGCGTTTAAAGATTACGATACATTGATTTTAGCATTAGCAGGAGATTAATTTATTTAAAATTTCTTTACATTGCATTGGAGAGTACCTTTTTACATAAAAAGTTCTAGCTTTACTTCTCATTTGTTGAAGTTACTGTATCTATAAGGATAAAAGAAGTACCACCATTTTAGCATTAAAATGTGAGTACCAACTTTCAAGAAAAACAGTTTACCAATGTTCTTAAAAATAAACAAAATATATTATGTTTATTTAACCTTCCTATGGCTGTGACTTCCTCGGGAAGCATTTTAGGGCTTATACGTTCATAGAAATTTTAGTTTTATTTTTATCTGTAGAATCATCCCCGAAGTTAGATATACTATTATTTTGACACCCTGCATAGTTGTGTTCTTTAATTGCGTGTATCTTTTTAATCGTAAGGCAAATTTTACGGAAAGTTAAGCTAAACTATGGCTTGCTGTATCTAATTCGAGGCATATAATTTTAATGTCTACTCAACAGATAAAATAACTATTCTGGGTGACATTATGCTTCTCCTATTATTTGGGTAATTAACTTTCTGGCGAGATACTTTAAATTGTTTATCTACATTTACAAAAAATATACTAGACTTTGTTTTATTTATGACCCACTTGAATATTATTTTTTTGCATTAATATAACTAAATAGGTCACAAATATATGGAGAACTACTGAATAGTTAAATTAGCTAAGGTATTTTTGAAAAACCTTCTTTTTTTAACTGTCAATTGTTTCGTTCTGTTTGTGAGATGCCAGAAACCTATTAATTATATTTTAAGGAGAGTCGATGTTGAAATCGGCAGTGAAGCTTTGCTACTTCGCTCTTGATTTAAAAATAAGATAGCAATATTGATAAATGTTAGGTTTAGACTAGCGAAGGCCATTCTATTTAATATACCACGTAGAGTACTAGTTGCTCTTTTCTGATGCTGGCACAGCAAATGCAAATAAAAACACTTTTCAAAGGAGAAGAAGGTCAGAATATTTTCAAGATGAATCTTTTTCGACAAGTATTTGTATGAAATGAATTAAAATATAGAAAACTATATTAGTTACATCGTCGCATGAAATTACTTCAAACATATATTTTAATATACAGGGTGGTCCGAACTGTGTTCCGGAAACTTCGGCAGCATATTCTGCAGATAAAAATAAGTAAAAAAGTTCGTGTAAATTTATATCCTAAAATGCTCAGTTTCGGAGATACAGGGTTTCATTTTTAATATGAATACAGTTCCGACCACCCTGTATATAATATAATATATTATTTTGTTAATAATAATACTACCCCTTGGAGACATCAACAGCCGATTAGACAAGAAACCTTTTTAATTTCATTTTATTATTGATATTTATCAATTAAAAATCACACTCAACCAACACTGGACAACAAACAACAAATAACAATATACAAAATACCATGTGAATGTGATAAATGTTATATTGATGAAATATCTAGACCCTTAAATTTTCGAATAAAAGAACGTAAAGATTATTTAAGAAAGAGCGATTTTCACAAATCTAAGATTTGTCAATATGCATGGGACACAAGGCAAAGAGTAGATTTTAACAATGCAAAAAATAATTATGAAAGAAGCAATAACCTCTAAACAAAAAATAAAAGAGGCTTTTTAATACAGTATAATAGAAATAAACGTATTGCTCAAGCATCCGTAGAGGTTAGTAATGTATGGCTATCGCTTCTTTGATTTTAATGAACATAACATAAATAAACAAAACATATAAGTGTAAACATTAAAAACAAATAAATATAATGGTATACAGAAACTTTGAGGTTTTTTTGTTTTACCTCATTAGGTAATTGTTATTAGGTTGTAATTGTTAATTTTGAAGTTTAACTTGATATAATGTCATTTTAACAGAACGTTAACGGTTTTTATAGACGTATCTGTTAGACTAATAGTAATAATATTTAATAATAAATTAGGTAAAAAATATAATTTATTAATTTTATTTCTATTTTAATTTTATTAATTGATATCTCATCATGGAGGCTGAATTCGGCAAAATATCAAGAGATAACTTTTAATTGGCATTAAACGGTCTAACCTAACCTAACCTAACCTACATAATTTCAATATCAAAAGAAAAAAGTCAGTGGGGCACGTTTTTTTTTAAATAATCCAGTGATAACCCATATGCATGTCCCTGATGAATTTATCGACACTCTTTTAGCATTAAAATATGTCGCACTTATAGTAACTTTTACCGAATCACTAAAAGGAAGAAAATTATAATAAATCGAAAGATTATTAAGACTTTAACACCCTGTAGCTACGAAACAAAGCAGAATCGGACCTATATGTTGATATAACAAATAAATCTTACTTTTACGTGAGGAATCTCCCCACGAGAGATGGCACATGTTTTTTGAAACACCCTCTATATTATTGTGTTAATATTGAATACTACCCCTTGGAGAGATTTTTTTATTAATATTAGCCAATTAAAAAGTTTAAAAGCGATGTATTTCTTTTTATACTATTGTTCCCGTTTAAATTAATAATTGCTGTAGCTTGATTATTTATGTAATTTAGCTAGATAATGATTTTTTACTTGGTGTAACATAAGTGGAGTGAAAAAACTAGGAAAGTATTAAAATAAATAGTTGCCGAAATGACCAATGAAAAGTGCTATGACATTGAAAAGACAGATCTTTCAGCATTCCATAAACATTTCAATGTAAAGTTTTCAGTGGTGGAAGCATCAGATAAGAAGCGTCTCGAGGCACGTATACATGTCGGCCGAGGAGAGTTAATTGACAGTCCAATCAATGGAGGATTTTGTCACTGGTACTCTGAAATCGACTTTGATTGACTTAATATTCCAAGGCTCAATTTCAATAAACAATGGGCAATTTCACTGAATGGCTCGGAATCGCGCGCTATCCAAAAATAGGAGAGTTTCCTTCAATCCGTCTTATTTTTTTTCCTCCCGTGAAACGTGACATCCAGTTCTTTTTTCTCCTGTCTCGCAGTGATTTAATACGCCACGAGCTTCGCATCGCTCGAAATAACAGAACTAAACATTAATAATTACCACTTTATACAGGGTGTCTCCATATTCCGTGCAATAGAACTAATACGTATTTTTGGAATCAAAATAATTTCATTGGACACAATTTACCTCTAAAAAATATTTTTAAAATATTTTAAGAACGGTTATTCCCATTTGAATGACAATTAGTGTGCTTATGTTTTGATAGGTGCTTCAACATTTGACATTTACAAAAATCAAGAAAAACTAAGAGAAGGTTTACCTAGTTTTTAAACTAACCATACCGGTACATAAATTTTAGTATAAATATTTTCCAACCCCACCAATGACCGATTTTTTTTTCTTCAGAAAATGGTCTTTCTGGTCTTGATTTGGTTTTCCTTGTTCCTTGTGTTCTAGTTCCGTAGTTATAGTTCCTCCAGAGGAATAGTTCCTTGAACTAGGTCTTTAGTTCATATTAGTTCTCGACTAACATTGGCATCACCGTTGCTTGCTCAGGGTTTCGTTACAAGTCAGAATCATTCAAAGTATAATATTTTTTGTCTCTTGTCAAAAATGAATGAAATTGGAAAAAAAATATGGAAAAAAATATTTTATAACTGACTTCCAAAAAATGTTTCTTGTCACATCAAGCCTATGTAGGCGCATAAAATCTATTATACGCTAATAATCTAGTTGACAAAAATATGGAATTTTCTGTTAGCCTCACAAATGATATTTGACAATCAGCTTCATAAAAAGCTAATAAATTTTAAATTAATTAAGGTTCGAGTTTATTTTTGATTGATGCTCTCTAACGAACAAACGAAACACTTCTGGATAGAGGTAAATTGTGTACATTTAACTTATTTTGATTCAAAATATACAAAGTTGTAGTTATCTTGTCCATGAAATAATTGAACTGCCTGGATATTTTGTAGATCTGCTTTGGAAAAAATTCTCATTTTTTTTGCCTCAAAAACTATGCGATGTAGCGTTTTTTACAAGAGACAAAAACGTAGTAAATATTAAACGGAAAATTTTACGAAATCTTTTACAAAAATTTTACGAAAAAAATTACTCATCGGTGGAGTTGCAAAATATTTCTACTAAAATTTAGTAGTTATCACCTTTCCGGTATACTTTTTCTTATGTTTTTTGAAGAAAAAAAGTCTTATAAAGTGTTTAAGCGCTTAGCAAAACATATGCACCTCAAATATCATTTAAATCGGAGTACCGGTTTATAAAATATCTTAAAAAACGTGTTTATCTTTTTTTAAAAGTTTAATGCCCTCTAACGGATATACAAAGCATTTCTGTATAGAAAAATCAAATTGTGTCCAATAAACTTATTTTTTGTAAAACTTTTTTAGCTCTATGTCCGTGGAATTTTGGGACACCCTGTATGTGTTTCAAGAGCCACCGGTAAGTTACTATTTTGAGTTTATTAAGTTCATATACTTGACAGTCAAAAAATAAGTACAATGAAGTGGGTCAAAATTACAAAGTATCATTCTCTTTTATTACTAGTCACAATGACTTCGCACAGTCAATTTAAAAAGGCTTAATTGAGAAACAACCACTTAAATATATGGTTTAATCGATGTTTATTATTTAAATTCGTTAATAAAAATACGTACCTTGTTGAAAATAATTTGCTTTTCTCACGTAGACGCAGACCAACGCCATGAGTTGTAACTGAGATAACCTTTGTCTCGTTGAGGGTGGTAAAGGTAACAGTTCCCTCAAATTAGCTATCTCCGCATTAATAAGGTCTCTTCTAAGCTTGCTGGCACCCTTGGTCGATTTGTTAGCATCAAAACTTAAAAAGAAGAAAAATTGAATGTAAATGTTTTTAGAAAATTCTATTTTTGATTAACAACAGCTGTAATAAATTAAGTAAGAGCTTTAAAAAAATGTTGAACATTAAGAAATGGCGGTATGTATATAAAAAATCATATTGGTCCAGAGGAAAGTAAAAATAATGGAGCGAACATTGGAGAAAACCGCAAGAGTGGGTAATTAAAAGACCAACTAAAGAAGATGTAAACACTTTGGCTAAAAGAAAAGAGAAGAGTTGAGACGGTGCGGTTAAGGCGCTCTTGGTTTGTTGTTTAATTTATAATTTATCGTAAATTTACAGGTCACTTAGGGCTCGCAGGCTTAAAATATGTGCTGGATCGTTAAATCGTGTTCGAAGACGATTTTTATGTTACCACCAGCGCGTACCGTACCGTATCGCGCAGCTACAACCCAGAGACTCCATATTTTTCCTATATAGGATGGTTTATTCTCGGTATAAAAAACATTGATAAAACACGACCTAATCATGGACGGCACGGGATCGAGGAATGTGGACAAATACATTCCTTCAGGATACACTAACCTAGAGGTGAGGATTCTAGTTCCTTGGGAGGAACTAGTGCCTTAGTTCTAGTTCTTCTAAAGAAATAGTTCCCTGAACTAGGTCTTTAGTTCACATTAGTTCCCGACTAACATTGACATCCCCGTTGCTTGCTCATGGGTCTCATTACAAGTCAGAATCATTCATAGTATGATCTGTATACTTATACTATATAGTGCGAAATATTACGAGACATGTAATTGCCTATATTAAAAACATAGATGTAAGTTTTATTAGATTAGGTTAGGATTTTTTAGGAAGATAAAAACAAAAAATTAAAAGTGAAACTCCAGTCAGAATTTAACTAAATATATCACAAATCCATTAGAGCAAATAATAAAATACTTAATACTGACACGTGTAAGTGAAGCTAAAAGATAAATATTCTTTTTTTTCTCGTCATTCTATATTTTTCTTAATAATTTTAATACGAATTTAATTACTTTGGTTTCAACATTTTGATTCGTGATCCTCTACATTTTTTCAAATATTTCTTACGAATAGTCGTATTTTTCCTCACTTCGAGCTCTTTATTTTTATCTAAAAAGTTAGAATATACTACTACTTCGTTTTATAAGATATTTCTTATTATATATTCATTTATACTAAAATGAAACGTTCCCATAAAATATTCAAAAAACGAAACTAAAAATTAAAAACAGTATCTACGACAATTTTCTGTGGCAGCCACGCCTGCCGCGACAATAGACTGGATCCGTCGTCGTCGCCTTGAATTATGTCTCAGGACTGCGGACCGAATAGATACCCGTAAACTAGAGTATTATTTAGTTCTTCTAGTTCCTCTAATTCCTCTAGTTCCTCTATTTCCTCTAGTTTCTCTAGTTCCTCTAATTCCTCCAGTTCCTCTAGTTCCTCTAGTTCCTCTCGTTCCCATCTCGTTCCTTTCGCATCGGTCTGCGATAGCGCTATCCGTTCCGTCGCTGTCGTATATTGTTATATCTCATTCTCGGCCACAACAAACAGTCTCGGTCCTCGGAAATGCAGAGATAATAGTTCCTGAGGAACTAGTCTGTTAAGAAACCGAGAACTAGTTTCTTTCATCCCGTGGTCGGAATAGTGCGTCAGAAATAGTTCGTTCACACACGTACACACCTCTAGACTAACCTAGGTATAGAGACGTGTCAAAATACCGCTGACGGAACAGGAGCTGAGAGGGGTTTGGGAAGAGACCAAGTTCAAGTAGATCCTTTTCCTTGGGTAAATACTCAACCGTATTCCAGACAACAATGTTGGCCATTCTACAATGCGCGATCGAAAAAAAAACAGAAGAACTTACTCCTGCAAGGATCTGATTCGTAAGTGACACATTTTATTTGGGAAAGCAAGACTAGAACCGGAGAAACTATGCTCCCATCCTATCAAGGACCTGTTGCATGGTCCAGGGATGGGAGAGTGAGTACAGACATAAAAAGGGGACAAACACAATAGGCCTTATAGATCGCAGTGTTTCCGGCACAGGACTGCCCTTATTATTGAAAAAAAATTGGACAGCCCGAGTTCAGATAATACCTTCGGTAATTAAGTGTAGGATTTATAAAGGACCAAGCGTGTAGTGTGATGATCGCGGCATACATATACAACATCCTACCGTTACCAACAAACACCTATGGGATACATTAAGTGTTTGTCACGACTTGCCATTGTAATCTATATTCTTTGGGACTAAATAACCCCGCAAGGCCTGCGGATAGAGTCTCTTGGTTTCACACGGTGCACGATTTTTTACGTGCCAAATAGATAGAGCTAACTGTAAAATAAGGGCCTATAAATATATTTTTCTTACTTTTAATTAATCACCATTAAACTAGTTTTAATTGGAATCTTATGGATACTAAAACAACTATAGGCTTTCATATATTTTTAACAGCAAAATGTAAAATTATATAAATGAAAATAGGTTATTAGATAATTAATACTATAAATGTTTAGATTTTAAAAGGGAGTTCCTATTTTTAATTGATTAAAATAAAAATGAAATACGGGAGCTTCTCGTTTTACGCGGTTTTATTGATTCCATAATATAAAATATACAGGGTGGTCCGAACTGTATTCCGGAAACTTCGGCAGCACATTCTGCAGATAAAAATAAGTAAAAAAGTTAGTCCTATAAATGTATGTCCTAAAATGCTTAGTTTCAGAGATACAGGGTGTTGAAGTTCCATTTTTATTTCGATTTTTTCCAAATAATTTCTGAAGTAATTTCAATATTTGGACAAAAATTGGTGTCTGAGAGTTTTTTGACATGAGAAATTTGATTTTGATGTCAATATGACTCCTATTTGTAAGAGACGCCATCTACATGTGTTTTAACTGTTTTGAAGAGTAATAACTTTTCGTCCGTACCTGTATAAAACTACTGAGTGAAAAAATATTCATTTACGTGATTTTTTACGTAATAAATGTCTCTTGGTAAAAATTGCCACGAGCAACCATTCTCAAGATACTTAGAATCGAAATAGTCAATACATGTCATTATTGACAAAAAATAAACATATTGAGTAGATAGTTATTTGAAAGAAATGATAAATTGGGGAATTTTTTATTTTTTTTAAATTAACCATACATTTTTCTTCGAAATTTTGATGGTAAAACAGCTTCTGTTAAACTGTTGGTACATAAACATTTTTTAATTTCAGTCAATAACTGTTTAGTCAACATGCTTAATTTATGTCAATGACAGGTATTGATGATTTCGATTGAAAATATCTCGATATATAACCATTACTCGTAGCGATTTTTACCGAGAGATCTTTTTTATGGAAAAAATATCGTAAATCTCTATATTTTGACTCAGTAGTTTTATACAGGTACGGACAAAAAGTTATTACTCTTCAAACCAGTCAAAACACATGTGGGTGGCGCCCTCTACAAGTAGGAGTTATATTGACATCAACATCCCCCCCAAATTTCTCATGTCAAAAAACTCCCAGACACCAATTTTTATCCAAATATTGACGTTACCTACTTCAGAAATTATTTGGAAAAAATTGAAGGTTCTACACCCTGTATCTCCGAAATTAAGTATTTTAAGACATACATTTATAAGAACTTTTTTACTTATTTTTGTCTGCAGAATATGACCACCCTGTATAATAAAAACACTAATTTACCACAATACACCAAAACACTAATAAATCTACGATGGCTAAATCCTACGATGGCGGGACCATATCAAGATTCTCGTCTCCTCCCTTACTTCTATATGCGGAGCTCTGTAGAAATGGACCGACTAACCCTTGCGGTGTATCACCAACTTTATCAGAACTCCAATGTAACGACATCGAGTTGGAGAGTCATCAATTCACACTCCTCGGAGGATGAACAGCTGTTGTCAGGGGAGGATGGGAAATACTCTGTCCCTATACAACAGAAAGGTCTTCATGTATAATGAGTTATAACTCAAGAAAGGGGGACGCAGTAGATCTTTAAGGTCGCGGTGATTAACCCCCCTTTCACTCATTCTACCCCTAAAAATATTTTTACTTATTTAAGACTCGCAATCTATATTTTATGTAGTAACAAAAATTGTTTTAATACACGCGGTGTTTTCAAGGAGCTTAACCTCCGCCTAAAACGAGAAACTCCTGTACACAAAAACTTATTACATCTAAAAATAAAACATTGAACGAATTAAATTTTATTTTGAATGGAAATTATGAAACGGAGAGAATATGATACAAAAAAAACTGAGTTTTTAGTGTATCTAAAGGGGTAATTGCGATCTATATGGGATCTAAAAACAAATCTAACGCGAGAAGCCGGTAAAGAACGATCCGTCTTTTTTTTCGTATTCAGCAATTTCTATGCAATCTGGAGCGGCAAATCAAATTAAATTGTATCGACGTCTGACATATCGTGCGACGCACAAAAACCTTGTAATTAAATAATGCATTAAATTAAAGTTTGATCAGCAATTTTTCGGAACCGATTTCATTCTCCGTCTTGGACTTTTGTAATTTACAATAATCGAGCTGGTTTCGCCGCTATTTAGTTACAGATCAGAGCTTTCGTTCTAAAGCTCTTTTCAAAGCATGTCACCAATAAATCCTATAGCCTTCCAATAAGCTTTTTTATCCCGATAGTTCTATATTAACTTTGTTTTTAACAACACACTCTACTTAAAAAATCACGTTAAATCAGCCACGTGTTTGTTTTTAACCGTTATGACAAAAAAAATAATTTCATACTTCATATAAGCATTTTAAACTTTTAAACCAACCTTATTTTAAAAGGAAACTATACATAAATTACTTTAGAAGCATTAAAATACTACAAATATACCTATGTTATAGTAGTAGGGGGCACCATAAAAAAAAATATTTCTTTTTATTTTAGTTACCGTAAAAATATCGTTCACGATGATGAAAAAAATTCTGGTAAAGTTTGAGTTCTTAATA